GACAAGATCTTGTTTGGAAAGGGGAACCCTTTCAGCTCTAGGACACTGTTGGGCTAGCTGGAGAAGTCATGAATCTGCTGTGCTATGGTTGGTAATGGAAGAACAGCAGAAGAGAAAGCAAGGCTGAAAACAGGCATATTGTACTGGACCAAAGTGTGATCAGTTTCTTTCTCTGCTGATGAGCAGGGGATACAGGCTCTAAAAGTTTGTTGTGGATAACTATTCCTGTTAGTAAACTTTAGATTTTATGAGCTGGACTTTATCAGTATCCTTTTTATTTATCTTACAGATACCAATATATTTACAGTAGAATAATCTGGAAAAGGATTTGTATTATCTCGTATGAAACCGTGGTTATGTTGTGGGAATTACAAAGACCTTGGTTTTATACTAGCCCATGCTTTCTACCTCTACTGTTGTTCCACTTGCCTGTTGGAGCAAGTGACCTTTGTTCTTAGAGATTAGGCATAAATGGAAAGGTATTTGGAAATTAGTTCCATGTGGAACCAGGGCATTTGATCAAATCACAAGGCAAATAAGTAAATCATACTTTCTGACTCAATCAAATATATAAATGAAAGTATAATGTACTTATTGAGTCTTACAATATTGGCTGATAACATTAGCATTTACTAAGCAACTCTTTACTCCACGTTAACGTTCCCTCTGAGATGTATGCTCTCGAATGTAAATAGTGCATTCAGAATGTGTCTTCAAATACTAAGGTCTTAATATTACGTTTGAAACTCTGGAAAAGCACAATATGTTTCCTTTGAGAGAAAATCGGGCCACGCGGTATTTACATTTATAAGATGCACTATAGATTAAGACAAAATTAGAATTCATTTTGTTAAAAATGCTAATCACTAAACTACATGAAATTCACTGTCTCTTATATTGTTGATCCATAAAAAGCACTCATCCCAAGGCCAAATTGGCTTGATGTTTGGTGCTGGCTTTGCTTTACTGAATAAATATATTATTCTATTGCTCTTCCTATGCTTGCGTTACAAGTCTTCCAGATAACACCAGGAGTTCAAGTTTGTATGCAAAAGCAAAGAGCTTTTATTGCAAACTAGAGTTTGGGCTCTCTGTGCATTCTGACACAGCAGTTGGATCAGGGACAGCATTGAACTCAGCTGTGGTAGGCTTCTTAAGGAGTAAAGGATTTGGGAGGGGATAGATGAATTCCAGATACAGACCAGATGGTGGTTCAATTCCTGATTGGGGCAGGAGAGAGGTAGCAGAAGTCTTGTCAAACAGGGTTTGGTACTTGTGATGCAGCAAGGAAATTGGTAACCTATAAACAAGTTAGGTTATCTATTTTTAATACTCTAGAGCATCTAGTACTTGTTTGTCTTCATTCTGATTGGTTTCTCACAGGGTACAGTTTGTGGTTTTTCCTGGTTATTGTAAGGATGAGGCGTAGTCTCAATATTGTTAGTCTGCAGCATGTCATGGCTGCGCTCATGTTAAGTTAGACCTCTTCACCCCCCCCCCCCTTCACCTCTAATTAATGGGTCTTCTGCAGGAAGAGCTAGACAATCACACGTTACCCCTTTCCTGAATTTAGGACATTATCATGAATGTATAGGGTCAACCCAAATGCAGGCCCATCATCCAGATGAGCAGCTTAATGAGTTTTATTTTGCATGGGTAGGGTTTTTCTTTTACTGGACCATGTACTGCTGCTAACTGAATTTGAGGTGTCAGTTGTCAGGGTCCAGAAAGGATGAAAGGCTAGTAAAAGGCTGAGTAATGGGACATTTATCAGGAGCATCTGATTAGCTATTCCAGGTGAAGGAACAGGGAGCAATCCCATCAGCTGAATTGGTTCACATCAGCGTTCAGCAAGTCCAGAGCTTAACAGTTTGCAATCCACAGGTGCTCCCTGGATGGTGTTTGTTAAATCTGCCAAGACATATACAGACAAAGGACAAAAGTTAAAATTTAGGAGGAACCTTATATTTGGAACTTTTATTTATCTGAAGTCCATTTGACCTGTGACATATTGCTTTAAGCCTTATGATCTTTTTGACTCTTTGAAGCTTACATGATTTTTTTAGTTTGCTAAAGATATATGTTTTAGATGTATTATCATTTTAATTATACTGAAGTTCATATTTGTAAAGAAAGAAATCTAGTTTCTGTAAAACAGCTGGATCAGATATACACCCAGGAGACACAGCAAAAGCTATGACTTTGGGTTAGCTTGATGAAAAATCTCCATCCATAGCCAGATGAAGTTTCTATGGTGATATGCAAGATATTCGTCAGTATGGTTATAGGATAGGGTCATTTCAGGTTCCCTCTCCTCAGCTGCCCAAGAAACTAGCTGGGGACATCTCCCTGGACACCTGGGAGCCCCTCTAGAGTCAAGTCTCTTGCCAACCCTAAGATGGTTTCCTTAATTAAGATATATACTTTTAAACTGACTTTTGTGTCCAACACTTGGCACTGCCATTTTGCCACAGAAGCCAAGTACTCCCACTCCCTTGACTAATTCTTGACCATTTTCAGTTTTACTGGTTGTCTGTAGAGAATCAGTCTGTCCATGTCTGTTAGTTTGTAGTTTTGTTTAGCAGCTCAATTGTTATTCTGTGTTTCATAGTACAAAAGAGAGAGAGAGAGAGAGAGAGAGAGAGAGAGAGAGAGA